AGGCGGGAGGCGCCACCGGCGACGGGAGCACGCCGTCGCAGGCGCCAGAATCGCTAGAGGTCGGGAACGCCATCTCTCTTCCTCCTCCACAAAACTGTTGGGAGCGAGCGAGCGAACTCGTTCCTTTTCTTTAATCTCTCCCTATCGCAGGCGCCAGAATCGCTAGAGGTCGGGAACGCCATCTCTCTTCCTCCTTCACAAAACTGTTGGGAGCGAGCGAGCGAACTCGTTCCTTTTCTTTAATCTCTCCCTAATAATAATAAAGCACGGATTGGGTCTCCGGGTTCACCGTCACAATACGCTTTCGCCCAGTCATAATACGCTTTTTACGATTATGTTTTGGAATTAACCGATGTGGTACTAATGGAACAGTTCGTTTTCTCTGAGGTAGGCTTCCTCTCATTTTTTTAAAAATCAATGGAGGAGCAACGAAAGAATAGGCCGATGGGGGGCTCGAACCCCGGACCTCGCTGTCATGTATAGATCGATCATGGGAGCCAACTCAGCTATGTTATAGAATGTGATAGGAAACAGGTCGTTTCGCTATAAATAGTCCCACCTCGCTCCTTTTGATCAAGTTCCAGAAACTTTTATATGTTTCCGAGTTGAAACCGATAAGCCACCTAATAAAGAATCAAAAGGAGGAGGAGCGCGAGGAAAGGAAGTAAGAGAAAAATCTTCATTTCCTGAGTTATGAAGGAAAGAAAATATAGTTATTCGGTGCCATGAACCACGGAGGAAAGGAATTAAAGGAAGGAAGAGAGAAGGCCATGCACCAGAAAAGAAAGGAATTAAAAGATGGGGGTGTGAGAGAATAAATTAAGAAGGCCAGGAATGGAATGGAATTTATAGCCATCGGATATATTTGGAATGGAATTATAGCCATCGGATATATTTGCACTGTTACTACAGAATGCAAGAGGCACATAAGTTCTCAAATGATTTCATGTCATCCGTACAAGTAGAGGCAGTAATGAGTAGGGGGATAAATATATATACCCTTAGATATTTTAGGGGACCAACTAATAGGTTTCTTAGTTCTGTGTTTTCTAAATCTCTCTTTGCATTGGATGAAGGAGGGAATTTTTAATGTATAAGGCATACAAACTTGACCTAAATAAGTGATCTTGTAATTCTAGAAAAGTTTCCAGATAAATTAAATCACGTGTATGGCCAAATTATTGTCTATGGCTGAGATATTATAACTTAAAAAACATGATAAATTAAATAACATGTATGGTCAAATTATTGCTTCAGGTACTGTACAAAAGTTTCCAAAAAAAAGGTACTGTACAAAGTGAACTTCACGTGCGTGTACACAAGGATCGGTCAAGACAACACTTGATATTACAGAACCTTCCAACACAACCACTGACATTATCATAGCTGACATTATCATAGTTCTCAATGCACGCCTGAGGTTACATAACTAACAAAGGAGCTACAGATATAATTTACCAAATAGCTGAACAGCCAAGTTCACTAACCGGACATACATAGCACCTATGGTTAACATAACAAGGACATGCCCAAGTTCAGAACTCGCCGCTGCCATCAACCATGCCCAGAGCAGGGGTGAATGTGAGCCTACACGTAATTAAGTCCTCCATAACATGGCTGCGCTTCTCTGGCACCGACAAAATCAGCCACTGGGCACGCGACTTTGATACGCAGCATAGACGGTGGGACGCCGCACTGCTTCTCATTCGGTGGCACCCAGAAGTGCGCCGGCGTTTGCCATCTCCGACCGCCGTCGCCAGCACAGCAGCGCATGCCCACGGTAGTGCGCCACGAGCGCATCCATTGGCGGGACGTAGATAGGGCTCGCCCCTTCGCCATGCCTCCTGCGGAGAGGACCTTGAGTCAAGCTACGGCTAACGCCATCTGCTGCGAGCAAATGGGTGTAGCCCATGACAATGGCACCGTTGATGTAGAACTCGCTATCGGTCACTCTGTAGCTGCCCATGGTGAGATTGGAATGGGGCAAAATCTAAGGTTAGGGATTGGAGATTTTGACGCCGGGGAGCTACTTGATAAGCTTGCAGTAGGCCCTAAGCTGACGTGGCCGGTGCGAGCGTACTTGAGACGTACGCGAGCGGTAGCCCAGGACCACATGCATGCATAGCACCCAGTAGCCGGTGTTGACGTGGCTGATTCTTGAATATAAGTTCAATTTGTTCACCAAAAGACAGATACACAGCTAGAACAGCCCCTGTTATGGAATATGCAAGACATAGAAGGACCCAGTTTCATAGCAGCCGAACAAATGTTGGGGAATCCGATTATCTTCCATTAAGCAAGTTCTACAAATTTTTCGCAAAAAAAAAGCAAGTTCTACAAATTTATATTTCATTTGCTGGTTTGAAATTGCATCGTGTATCTTGGTGAGTAACTTTAGTGATTTGGTTTTGCATAGATTTATACAAAGATTTGCTCTCTCTCCCTAATCTCTCCCTAATAATAAAGCACGGATTGGATCTCCGGATTCACCGTCGCAATACGCTTTCTTCTCATGTCATAATACGCTTTTACGATTATGTTTTGAAATTAACCGATGTGGTACTAACTTAAGAGTTCGTTTTTGCCTCCATGGTAGTATGATGGCAGACTTGGGCCTGCTTTAGTCTAGCCCATACACGTACAACTTTTTATATTCGTCCCGTTGCTAGGTGCTCGCGCTCTGCGAGGTCGACGGTCGCTGCACCTTCCTCCTCCATATGCCGTAGCCTTTGGCCCTTTGCTTCCTGCAGCGGCAAGCAGCAACAAAACTAGGAAGAATTGTGTGACGTGCGGTGCTAAGGTTGGTGGTATGATCTATGCGCCGAGTGGGATGGCAGCTGGAAACTGTTCGATCAAAACATGAGCGCTGCTCATATGAAGTAGGATGCATGTACCACATTAATTCAATGTTCAGTTATCTCGTGAGGGCCGGCGCCGAAGAAAACACCCAAGGTACGTGTGTGCGTGTGATAATATATCGTACGTGGTACATCTGATCAATCATCACAGTGTGAATCAGCAGCAGCCAGCAGCACACAAATTCTATTAAATACCAAAAAAAAAATCCTTACTTATTTAAACTCAAAATTAAGCTACTGTTGTTCCAAAAAATATTAGAATCCACTTGAGTTTCAAAACTATATTCTGAATTATTTTAAGGTTACTTACATATACTTAATGCTTTCATTTAATCTTTTAAAGTGGATATTTACATTTGTTTTAACAGTTTATACGGTGGATAAATTATTTGATATAGAAAATATATTATTACTTTTTAAATAACATTAACATGAATTTGACTCTCGTATTCGATAAAAGACACTCCAAAAAAATGATTGCAACAGAATATAGATTATAATTATGTTTTATTTGGAACATGCATAAGGAGCCGCCGGAACTACCCAAGGAGTTTTAAGGAAAAGCTCACAGGGTGAATTATAATTTTTTTGGTGTTAACTTAATCTATAATGTACGATCCGTTCTTTCTTTCTTACTGATAGAGAGGAAAGGAAACATCGACAACTACACATGCACACCTGCGAAAAAACTCACAGGAAAAAAGAACATATTTCTCATGTTATTTTGAGCGAAGTGTGCGCGAGAGAGAGACGCCTTAGAACTGACCGCATTCAAACATGCTTTCGTTGTGAGAGCACTGAGACCACTATCAACAACACAAATATGATGCCATGTGAAAATAAAGGACGTGAACACATTAGGGTCTTGAGTCATGGTTATTGGGTTAAGAACATGTGTTATTTACTCTCCTGTTGTAACGCACGGGCTCTTTTGCTAGTAATTAAAAAAAATGCGAACTCGTTCCTTTGTTCGATGGGTGGCTGTGCAGGTTGCCACCATATAGTACAAGCACATGATGCGGTGCCAACTCTTTTTTTTTAAGACACAAAGCGGTGCCAACTAGCGGGCCGCGACCCGTAGGCTTCGCATTTTCGGCTGGTGGGCCGTCCAGCCTGCGCCGCTTGTGCGCTGGGTTCGCCGTTCCGATAATTGAAAATAGTACCACACGGCTCGTGTGCAAATCAGATGTGCGGCTTAATTAGGCTGCTCTTGGCGTACGTAGAGCCGAGGAAGCAATCACGGGCCAGTTAGCGCTGGCTAATCGGGTTTGCGAGGCAAAAGACCGACGTATAGACGTTGAGGCACACACGCATCGCAAATGCGAGCCGAGTCTATACGTGCGGTGATGTATAGACGTTGAGGCATACACGCAACGCAAATGCGAGCCGAGTCTAATGATCCGCTCCGTGTAGACGTATACGGTCGGTCTTTTTGTCTATTTCTCATGTGATTTGAATTTCTTCTTTAAAATGATAAATGCAAATTCCAGCCGATCACTAGATCCAACAAGAGTGTACAAGCTGTTGCAAATTCCATGTGATTTGTTAGCGTGTGTGCGTGTCTGTGATGTTGGGGCTGACCTGTCAACCTCCTTTGGGGCGCTACAAGATACGGATTCCTCCATTCATTTGCTACGCATTCATCGTGTCTCATCAAAGGCCTAACCTACGACTACGAGTCTGCAGAGTAGTAGCAGTAATCATGCACCGATCCACACTTGAGCTATATATCTGCACTCCCCGGCCATGTGCAGTGCAGGTGCAGACTACTGGTGTTTGGGGCAGATCCAGCAGCTAGCAAAAGAGGAGCATAGACGGCAAGAAGAATGGCACCCAAAACAGCGCTCATGGCTCTGCTTCTGCTCGTCCTTGTGGCCGGCGATCTTGTCCATGGCCACACCATTCCGCCGCCTCTCGCACGCACCCGGCGGAGCCTCGGCTGGATGCAAGGCATGAAGGGAGGGCCGCCCAGTGGCATGCAGCCATCAGATACTGCTGCTTCCGCCGCCCGCCGCCGCGCCATTTCTTGGGTGCAAAAAGGTAAGGGACTCTGCACCATTGTGTTGATAATTTTCTGGTGGTACTACAGAAAGAGAAGCAAACAGAGGAAAGCATTGGTAACTAATTTACCTATTGTCAACAATGTCGGAGGTTTGGTCCTTACCTGACTTGGCTGCTATTAGAAATACAGGTAAGGAATGGCTGCTTCATGTCCTTGACCCATTGCCAGAAATCGAGAGGTGCATGCTTCTTATGACTTTGTGGAGGATTTGGCACATCCGTAACGAAGTGTTACACCATAAACCTGCGCCCCCAATGGAAGCGTCCAGGAGGTATTTGGTGAGTTACCTTGATTCCTTGGTTGGTCTTAAAATTGATCTATCTTCTGATCCGAGCAAAGGGAAGTCCTTAGTTACATACGACAGGCCACTTAAAAATCCACATGTTCGAATAGTTGAGAGCACTCCTGTCAAATGGTGTCCCCCTATGGCGGGTTGGGTGAAACTGAATACTGATGGGTCCTTTGCAGTAAATGGTACGGCTGGTGCGGGGATGGTGCTGCGAGATGACAAAGGTAATGTCATCTACTCAGCTTGCAGGGAGCTTTTTTCATGCCGAGAAATTCTTGAAGCTGAGTTGTGTGCTTGCATGGAAGGCCTGTCTTTTGCAATTCAGAGAAGCGACTTGCCGATCATTATTGAGATGGACTCCATTATTGCAGTCAAGCTGATTCAAGCGATGGATATTGATAGATCGATCTACTCTTCTTTAGTTAAAGAAATTAGACACCTGATGTCTCTTCGTGATTCTTGTATTACTCATATAAATCGTACGCAAAATAAGGTTAGCGATAGCTTAGCAAAGTTTGCTAGACAAGAGGGCAGAACAATGACCTGGGTTGGGTCAGGCCCATCAGTTTCTTTAGAGCTAGCCGAGGCTGATTGTATGGACATTGAGATTTGAGTAATGCAAAGATTTTACCCGCAAAAAAAAAAAAATTACCTATTGTCATGTTCCCTGCTGCGGATATTCTTGAATGTGCGCTCATGTTGATTCTTTTTACACACATTGTATCAGGCGAGGAAAGCCGCCGGGACGCCAGCAGGGAGGAAGGCAAGTTCATCGCGGCCGTGCCTGGTTTCAAGCTCCTGCCCCTTCCTCCCAACGCTCCCTGAGAAGAGATCGCATCACAGGGTGAGCATGCATGCATGTCATGCCATTGACCACCACTAGGTTTGTCATCAAAGGTGTGGGAGTGTTCAACGATGCTTTATATATTGTTCAATAAGTAAGGCAGCATCGTCTGCCTTCGTTCAGTAACTGTAAGGTTGCAGTATCAGCTGTAATAAAGGGAGAAAACAGCGAGCATACTCAGATTGAAATAGCTCAGTTCTTGAGAAAGCGTCGGTGTGATCAACTGTTGATAAGGGAAAACATTAGCAGTTTCAGAAAACATCAAAGGAGACTTGAACAGGATCGACATCGTTTTGATCAAGAGAGATTGCCCCGCACTGCTTAGGTTGTGCTAAAAGAAACTGCAAGTTTGCACTTGTTAAATTCCATCCTAATTAAACTCATAACAGGATGGTAACACACAACAAAAGAACCAAGGAAATCCAGCACCATTTCGTCGGTTTCAAGCCCAGATCATTTCATACCTGCGACTGTTGTCGAGCCTGTGTGCACCCCTCAACGGCATCAGAGCTTCAGTGGGGCAGAAATATTTCTGGTCGCTCTCAGGCAGGAGTTCATGTTCATTATTCCTATCCTGGTCAGTGAGAAGAAACATGGGATTTATGCATGCAGAAAATGTTCTTACCAAAAGGTTAAGTGAGTGTAGGAATTAGTTGGACCTGCACTCTCTGTATAAGCAGCTTAGAGTTGTAAATACTGAAGCAGGGATTAAAGATTCCACGACAAAAATGTTGCGACACAAAAATAAATAAATGGTGATGCAAGTTTTGTAAGTGTGCATGATGCAGAATTTGCTCGAAGAGCCACCAGAGAATGCCTATAAATCAAGATAACCTCCGCCGGTTGATCCGTTCAGCCTTGGGGGGCTTGGCCACCAATGCTAGGCTAAACTGCTTCGCCTCTGGTTATCAGGCAGAAAGGATCGCCGCTGCAGTGAAGAGAGGTGGTGTGGTGGTGAGAGGCAGAATATTTCTGCAAGCTAACAGGTAGGGTTCATCTTCATTATTACTTACCTGGTCAGTACGGCATTATTTAGACCTGCAGTTCCAACAGAAGAATATTCTCACAACAAACTAGACGGCGATGCTAGTTTCTGTCTCCAGTGATGTCCCACATGATGGATTGGATTAGGTGGCTGTAGTATCCTGGTCAACTAAATTGCACAGATAATGAAAGAGCCAATGATTGCCGGCAGTGCAATTAACGAATTGAAGCTCCACTAGCATTAACAGACCAAAGGTTTTCTTTTCGGGTAGGTATACATGCCAAAATTCCAGAATAATCATCAGAAACTCTTTGTACTGACATGTGGCGACATGTGTGGCTCTGCCAAGGGCTGCCTGGTTAAACAAGTTCTGCCATTGACTAAACGCCAAAGCTCCGGTAGGTGTCTTTGCTGTCAGCACTCTGATAAAGCATAACGCCGAAGCTCCGGTCGGTGTCGTTGCTGTAAGCACTCTAGAAAAGCATAATGAAAACATCATTAACTAGTGCTGGGTAATTGACCCGGTCCTAGCCAGTGAACAAATTCTTCAGCATCCGTGCGCATATATGGACTTCCACGATTCTTCAGTACCTGACACACTTTGCACTTCCTCAGCAGCTAGCCCCTGACCAGACCAGAAGAGCAAGGATGGCGATCGCACTGGCCATGCCACTCGTGCTGCTGCTACTACTGCCAGTGACTCAAGCCTCGGCTCAGGAGCAGCAGCAGCAGCAGCCGCCGTGGCAGGTTGTGCGGCCAGGCTGCCGCGACAAGTGCGGCAACATCACCATCCCTTACCCCTTTGGCATCGGCGCCGGTTGCTTCCGCGACGACGGCCAAGGTGGCTTCCAGCTCGAGTGCAATGACTCCCGCTCAACACCGCGGCTCACCGTGACAGGCTATGGCATCCGGATCACCGGCCTGTCCGTCGCCACCAGTGAGGCCCGGGCCCACCTGAGGGCAACACGTCGATGCTACGACAGCAAGGGGCGTCTCGTCAGCCAGAGCGGCGCCACGTTCGTGCCACTTGTTGGCAGCCACTACCTCTTCTCCCAGGCCAGGAACCGGCTCGTCACGCTCGGCTGCTCCAGCCTCGGCTACTTCATCGACGTTCTTGGCTACTATGTCAGTGGCTGCATGGCCGTGTGCCGGCCACAGCAGTTCACCTCGCCGGGGTCCTGCACAGGCGTGGCATGCTGCCAGAGCGCGATACCCCCTGCTGTCGACTACTACGAGCCGTTCTTGCTTGACTTCACCAAGGAGCACCGAGACAGAGACATAGCCTTCTATAGCAACAAAACGACCTGCCGGTATGTGTTCCTGGTGGAGACCAAGTGGTTAAGTACAAGATACACCAGTGACAGCGAGTACCTCAACTGGACCAAAGACTTCGCCGTACCCGTCATCCTCGACTGGGCGGTCCGGAACGTCGGCAACTGCAGCGCCGCCAGGCGCAACACAACTGACTATGCGTGCCAGAGCACGCTCAGCGATTGTATCGACTCCGAAGATGGCGCTGGGTACCGGTGCAACTGCTCCAAGGGGTACGAGGGCAACCCCTATCTACAAGACGGATGCAGAGGTATACACCCATGCCCTGTTTTACTGTTCTGCTTCCTGCTCCTTCTGCCACTTCATCTGATGAATTGTTTTGCCAAATGGAAGACATCGATGAGTGTAAACACAAACAAGAGCAATCATGCTACGGCATCTGCACAAATACTTTGGGAAGCCACACTTGCCAATGTCCTCCGGGGACTAGTGGAGATGCTATGACGGAGAACGGTTGCCGGCCAAAGGACAATTTCACATTGGCCCTAAAAGTAGTAACAGGTTAGCAGATAATCCTGCAAATGGGTTGCTCTTGCAATCTTGTTTTGGAAAACTAACGGTAATGCTATGTCGTATTCAGGAGTGAGCATTGGAGTGTTCTTGCCATTTTTCATGTCCTTCTGGCTCTACTTAGGGCTCCAGAAAAGGAGACTTATCAGAACAAAGCAGAAGTTCTTCGAGCTAAATGGAGGCTTATTCCTGCAGCAGCAGATACGCAACTACAGTGACACCAGCAAAGGGGGTGGGGGGTTCAAGATCTTCACCAAGGAAGAGCTCGAGAAAGCGACCAGCAACTTCGCAGCCGGCCGTGTTCTTGGCCACGGAGGGCACGGTATTGTCTACAAGGGTGTCCTTGAGGACAAGACAGTGGTGGCGGTCAAGAAGTCAAAGATGACGGAAGAGGTCCCTACCAAGGAATTCGCGAGGGAGATGCTCATCCTCTCCCAGATCAACCACAAGAATGTCGTCAAGCTGCTTGGATGCTGCCTCGAAGTACAAGTGCCAATGCTGGTCTACGAGTTCGTCTCAAATGGTACACTCTACCACTACATCCATGGTAGTAGGGGCCTTGACTCTGATACAGGCTTCGACACCTGCCTTCGGATAGCAGCAGAGGCAGCCGAGGCACTGGCATACATGCACTCTTCAGCCTCGCCACCGATTCTCCATGGAGACGTCAAGACGGCAAACATTCTGTTGGATGACAAGCTCACAGCAAAAGTCTCAGATTTCGGAGCATCGAAACTGGCACCCACTGATGAGGCCCAGATGGCAACATTGGTGCAGGGAACTTGCGGTTACCTTGACCCAGAATACCTAATGACATGCCGGCTGACTGATAAGAGTGATGTGTACAGCTTTGGTGTTGTCCTATTGGAGCTTCTGACAAGGAAAAAGGCACTGTACTTCGACGGGCCAGAGGAAGATAGAAGCCTTGTTTTATGCTTCATGATGGCAGTGAAGGTAGGCCAGCACCAAGACCTTCTGGACAGCCAAGTGAGGGACGAGATGAGAATCGAAGCGCTTGAAGAGATCACACACCTCGTTATGAGATGCTTGAACATGAGTGGAGAGGAGCGGCCAACGATGAAGGAGGTTGCAGAGAGGTTGGAGATGCTGAGGAGATACCACAACCACCCGTGGGCTCAAGCAGATGCCAATCCAGAGGAGGAACAAAGTTTGCTTGCTATGGAACCACATAATGTGAATTACAAGTTCACACAAGATTATGTCCTTGATTTTGAAGCAAGCAGTACATACAGCTATAGCTTGTAGATCAAAATATTTTGTTCCATCTTTTCTGCATATCCTTTCAGATATGAGTTTTTTCGGATGTAACAAGAAACATATGCACATATGATAGTTGCAGAAAGGTGATCTAAATCTCTCACAGGGGGTTACGGACCATCTGGGCCAGCTACGTGAGCAGGTGCAGGCTGCAGAGCGTGTAGGACGGCGTGGAGATGCACCTTACCGGCTGATCCGGTGCATTTTTTGCCAGGATTAATATTTGTTCCTCTGACAGTGATATTGTTTAAACGCCACTCTACAATGATTATTTTATTGTGTTACATTCACGGATGGATAACATCAAGAACTCTCAAGAACACACACTTGAACCAAAACTATCGCGAGAGGCACGTCTCCTGCTCTCTTTTGCTGTAACTATCTTTCCTGGTTGGAACTCATACATGCAAACCAACTGACACATCCAAACTAGTACTACTCTCACTCCTAATTAAGTGGCCTGAAAACGTTTTATAAAAGTTTTATAGAGGGAGTAGTTTGGATTACTACAATATTTTTAACTGCCTCCTGATGCATTTCTTTGTTTGTTTTGTCTCTTCATATATATGGATAGCTCTTTGGTCATCCTTCAATATTCTCTTCCAGCTTATGGAAATTGAAAATACAGCGCATGTCAGAGTATTTCAAACGGAATAAATTAAATGGTACACAAACTGGAGTAAAATATATTGGTTTAGTTCATCAAAACAACACGCTCAGACTTTTACTTATAGTTTTCTTTAATGTTAACATGTCACTCCGGCGTCATGCCACTTTCTACGTACGTGTATAGAAGAGCGAGTCATGTACTCCCTCCGTTCGGAATTACCTGTCGCAAAAATGGATGTATCTAGACGTATTTTAGTTCTAGATACATCCACTCTCGAGACAAGTAATTCCGAACGGAGGGAGTACTTGTTTAATCATTTCCTGAGGTCATGCTTGTCATTCACTTAGTGGCACGTATAATTCACTGAAGTTGTAGAAATTGTCTAAATCAATAATATGCAGATATACCCATTAGTTGGTTAATGATTTTCATTTTTTATTAAAAGATGTTAAAAGCAATAGGATGGAAAATTTACAGAACTTACACAAGCTATTTGCAACTTATCTTTTTCCAATTATTGACTAGGCAACTACTACAAAAGAAACTACTTAATTTGATTTGCAGACAACATCCAAAGTACACCTACCGGATGGTTTATGTGCCAAAACTGCAGATTGTTACTATTTAACAAAAGCTGTACCTTTTAATTTGGAGGGATGGTGTGTCATGAACTTTCGTGATCTCAGAGCTTCCATATAAAGGAATAAGCTTCCGAATGTATGCCATAGGAATAAGCTTCCCAATGTATGCCATAGCACGTAGCGTCCCATGATAAACCGTTTGCCACTGCATCCTTCACCCGCAAATCCCACTGCGAACGGTCATTCTTCAGCACAATGGAGAGAAAATTGTGTTAGATATGCCCTAGACTAGCCTATGTTGGCTATGTTCAAAGCAAAGAAGTTCAGAATATAGCTTATTTAGATAAATAGATTTTGCTTCCCAGCTGAGTAATTGCAAGCTTGGTTTATGCTGATGGTTCAAAACGTCACTTGATTGATATATGCAGAGATGATTAGTTGCACATAATCAGCAAATTACAGCACCATGACATGAGAGCTAGTACACTTTTATGTAAAAATAACAGCTAGTGCCCTGGAGATTGTGAACTTACAATGTCGTCGAGAGCTTGAGAAAGAGACATGTCTCCATATGTAGAGATGATGTGCTCGGACAAAGCTGTATTGTAGTAGTCATGACTGAAAGATTGCCTGGTTACAAGTAAATTAAAGCTCTGAGCCATAAGTTACGACATAAGTGTCAATCAACTGATCTGAAAGCTTATGTTGATCCATAATATGAGCTTCTGTTGTAGCCTAGTGCTTGTGTACAGTCTTTTAGCTTTTCTTGTTCGTTTGCCTTTTGGTTTGGCTGCTTGGTCAGGTGTATTCTTTGTGCCTTCATTGTGTTTCTTCTCGTATAAAATGACACACGTTTAGATACGTGTTTGAGAAGAAAATATCAAAGGGAGGAAACTTCCTAAGTAAATGGTGTATGGGTTTTACCTGGATCAATCACTTGGAAAATTTATCTGTACCGGTGCAGATTCATATATGATTGCCATCTGCCCGCCAAGGTTAATTTGACTAATAAGAGACACAGTGATGGCCTGGAAGTACATTGCACTGCACAGTAACTTTACAATTAAGATATGCAAAGCAAGACTTGTAGCTTTGAATACGAGCTGAGTTTGGTAAAGATGGAGGACATACGAAAGTGGTAGCATACTCTATCGGTGTACTCAGAAAGAGTCGCAATTCTGAGAGCAGTTCATTATCTGGCTTGTGATGAGTATCACGGAAGGAACTTTATATCATGCTTCCATTTTCGGCAACTTTCTTTCTTGAATCAGATGTTTTCGCCATGCCAATCCTTCCAGAAATGGCTAGTGCATCTATACGCAGAACCAACACATAAAAACTTGATGGTTGTGCTGTTTCTGTGGCAATACCTGAATAGGGATCCCATGCATGACAGCAAAGAAATATATTAGTGGAAGAGAGAGGTATATGGTTTACAATTCTAGACACTTGTTTTACTTTCCCATCTGAAGATAGCAATACCATACCAAGCAGCATTGAACTCGCTGAAGAGCTACCAAATGTCACCCTTGTGCTGCTCATCAGCCAAGTCTGTCCTCTGCAACAGCAGACGCACCAAATTCAGAACCCCAATGTCCGCTTGACTGAACCACTCCCCATTTTGACACTGTGAAACTGCTAATCCGCACCTGGACCTGGTCGATGTTCGCTTCGAAGTCGATCCTGAAATTCCCCCAACAAGTCATAGACAAACTTAGAAAATCGATTCACCCCGCCCTGAAGACGCTGGAAATCGAACCGAAACAGAGATGAGAGGAGCTCGCGGGCACCTACTTGGCGGCATTGGATCTCCCGGCGCGAGCATCGGCTTCGCCCACCCCTCTGGGACACAGTCAGAAGCCGCGGCGGCGCGCACGCTAGCACCGAGAGCTAGCCAGTTGGGAGTGGTCCACCGGGGTACCTGGAGGCTGCGCGCGGGAGAGAAAGGGGAGGCAGCGGCGAGGCCAGCGCTGGAACCGGCAGCGCCGAAGTGGCGAGGAGGGGGAGCGGGGCCTCTGTGTGTCGAACCCTCCGACGATCCGCCGGGCAATTTGGGGAGCGAGGGGAGAACCGACGGAGAGGAGGAGGAGGAGGGAGGAGCAGCTCGGGCCGTTGGCGGCAGGCTTCTGGGCCGAGCAAGAGAAAGGGCATCCCCTCGCGGCCTCGACGGGAATACGGCCCCAGCAACAGAGCATCTTGTCTAAAAAAAAAGCAACAGAGCATCTAGATTTCCAAAATTACTAGTTAAAGAGTACTCATTGCAAAGAGGGAAACGTTTATACCCGGCGCGCCGGCCGAGTCTTCCGCCGGTCGTGCACGGGTCATTCATCTACTGCTAATTGAAGCGTCACGATTAGCCATCTCCCCCACAATCAAAACGCGTGGCAGTTGGGGGCCCGCACACCGCCCGTGTCCTTCATCGTTATCCCTTTGTTGCTCATCCCCATCCACATACTACCGCATCTTCATCCCCACCCCACCCACAACCATCCACATCCATATCCTACTGCATCTTCATCCCCACCCCCACCCACAGCCATGGGCGGTGCTCATCGCCATGGCCGCTAGCAGCTAGTAATCGTCACCGTCGTCGCCCAACAGGCCTCGTTTAAGTTCTTTGTGGATCGCAGGCACCGGATGGACCCTCTCCATGGGCGCATGCAGCCAGGGGTGTGCTCGTCGCCTTGTCCGCCAGCAACTAGATGCCTCCATGGCCGCCGCAACCATGGTTCGTTAGTCACCACGGCCGAGCTGCAATCAACCATGGTGGCGATGAGTTTGTGCTGGAACGGGGGTTTTGCTGGAAATAGCAAAGACCCATGATATTGGGACGACGACGGACACCGGCTATCATGGGTCTTTGCTGCATTGGTCTTTTTGCTGGAACCATCAACCATTTTTGCTCCAACCAGCCTATCAAGAGATGGAACCGGCGAGATTATTTTTAGTTTTTGCTGGAACCTTCATTTCTTTTCTTGTTAGAACAGTTTTTGGTTTTTTGCTGGAATCGGTGTTATTTTTGCTACATCAGGCTGATTGTTTTGCTCCAATAGATTACTGGAGGTTTTGTTTTGCTTTGTTGTTGATTTTATTTTTGCTACAATTGGCATGGGAAAAGCCTCAACCGCGAAAAAAACACCAACCAGAGAGAGTGGGGAAAAGCTTGGATCCGACGAGGACGGCGAGCCGGCGGGGCTTCAAAGTCAGCGGCAGGGGCGGCCATGGTGGGTTGCGTGAGTGAGGCGGGATGTGCTGGAGATTCTCTTTTTTGTTTTGTTTCCACATGATGTATATGAGAATAAAGGAGAAAGGGGACCAAATCTGACGGTACAGAAAATTGATATCGAACGGGTACGCGCTGACCGGTCCAAATTTGGGCCGGCGCATCGGCGCCTATCAGCGCCCAAAGAGCTTGCAAAGATCACTCCCACCTTTTTAGCTTGTAACAAGTGGCGCGCTGCAACATGAGAGGTTTTCTTTTTTGTAGATTTGTTTATTCAAAACATTTTATCTCTTAAACCGTGCGTCCAAATCTCGAACCGTTTTCACCGTTAAATTCCTCGCGTCGAGATCTTCAAACTAGATCCCATGTTGATAGGTTTTCACAAAAAAATCATGAAAAAACCGAACAAAAAATTCGAACCGGGAGCACGGACTTTTTCCTTTCCTAAAGAGGCACGCCCGTGCCTCTCGCGGAAAAAAAGAGAAAACGCATATTTTTTCTGTTTTCGAATTTCCGAAGAGGCACGACCGTGCCTCTTGCAAAAGCACAACTGTGCCTCTCGCGGAAACAAAAC